AGTTGACAATTATAGTCACTTTCGGTCTGTCTTATGTGACTGGCGTAATGAAGAATACACTTGGTCAATTATATTTATCTCATATCTGTTTTTGATCAAGAAGTTCAGTATCTTTTATATGCACTTGGCGTATGTCTTTTTTTAAAAAAAGGTTTTTTTATGGTTGTTAAATCTAAATAATTCAAAGATCTATTATTTTCAATTTCTACCGTAAATTGAAGTCTATTATGAATGTTATTAAAAGTTTCTACGACTTTGTTCACCAAATCTCCAGGAACAGTCATGATAATGTCAACATATCGAAAGTAAAATGAATTATTTAACTGTAAGTTGTTTTTAAGGCAATTTCTTCCAAATCTTGCATAACAATATGTGCTAATATCGGAGACAATGGAGACCCCATAGGTGTTCCATAAGTCTGTTTGTAAATTTTGTTATTGAAAGTAAAATATGTAGAGTCAAAAATAAAATTAATTGCTTTGATAAATTCATCAAGAGGAATTATTGTATTCTTATTTATTAATTGCCATCTTTTGTTGATACTATCATTAACAAGATCCAGAGGTATGTTAGTGAACATAGATACAACATCTAATGAAATTAAGATCTCCGAATTATCTATTTGTCTACCATCTAAGTTTTTAAATAGTTCAAAGCTATTTTTAACATATTTATTGTCATCAATTAAACTTTTTGAAATAATTTTATGTAAGAAAGTTGATAAATTAATTTAAAAATCTATCACATTTAATAGAACTTCGCGTAATAAGTTGTAATAAGTATTTACAGAAACATATGTAAACTATAATAACAACGTATAGCAATATTTAACACAATTTGCGGGTCTATAAATATTTTTGTAGAACATTTATTACATCTTGTAGAACGAACTTCTACAAAGAACTTATAATGTAAAACTATTGTAGTAAAATAAAATATCGATTGCTACAAATTGTAGAAATTTTAAACAAAATTAATAGTAATAATTATCTGGCAATTTGTATGTTTCTACATTTAATTGTAGAGGATATTTTTACTATTTGTACTATGGAATGTGTGAAAAAGTAATAAAAAACATATTTATAAATAAATAAGATATATTTATAATAAAATATATAAAATAAACAAGTATGTGAATACAAAATAGAAATTATGAGAAACAGCATAGCACATACAGCACATATAGCACATATAGCACAAACAGTAACGACTTGGAAAAAAGAGGTCGATACGGCCAGATCACGTCTTTAATGTTGTAAGAAATTTCTATTTAAAATCATGTAATGTTATATTGCCATATAATAACAGGGTGGCTGAGAATAATTGCCAAATATTTCATGCGTAGGTAGAACAGACTATACTGAGTCGAAAAGTCCTGTACCATTTTGCGATTGCAGTACTAGTTAACGAGATATTAATTTATAAAAATATTTAAGTTCGCCCGGTCCACCGTTAAATGCAAGGGCGCGGTTGGATAGTACCGCCCTGCAAAGCGCGCCGAGCGCGTTCGCCGTCGCTAGGTACGCGACTCGTGTCTAGCGACGACTATTGCCGCTTATAAACAACGCTTGTTATAAACAACGCCTAACAACGGCGAAAGCGCGCGGCGCGCTTCGCTGGGTGGTCCTATCCAGCCGCGCGCTTGCATTTGACGATGGGCCGGGCGAATTTAAATATTTTTATAAATTAATATCTCGTTAACTATTATATTAGGTACTGCAATCGCAAAATGGTACAGGACTTTTCGACTCAGTATAATCTGTTCTATCCACGCATGAAATATTTGGCGGTTATTCTCAGCCACCCTGTATATGTATATAAGTATATTATGTAGCGAGTAAGGGTAAATGTCTTCTCAAATATATGTTTGTTTTCATTAGCTGCGAAGCAAAGGAAGTAACGTCGAATCAGGAGATCACGCGTCCTTAGCATGATTTTCTGGAATATTCAGCACATAGCGAATGCCGAAAGAATATGCGCAGGGCTGCGTTCAGAAATTACGCCTAGATAACTCTAGGCTATAGTTTACGTTACGTATATTATATCAAAAATGCACCCAAGAGTTATCTGACAATGAGTGTAATTTCTGAACGCATCCCGGGGCAGGCACTCGGAAAGTGAACGCGGTCAAGTGTGGAGCCATCGCGAAAGCACTTGATCTAAGCCGCAACAATTATTCTTAAAGTCGAGTCATTCGAAAGCTCAGTGCCTTTAGTCTTTCCAGTGCCGGATTTACCTATAAGCAAAATAAGCAATTGCTTTGAGCCCCGTGGCCGGAGGGCCCCATAAAATTGAACAACATATTATCAAAATACAGAAACCAAAATAAAATAACAAAACAAAGAAAGACAAAATAAAATTAATCAATAAAATGTTTCTCTAATATTACTTTGAACGAATTTGTAAATTTTTAATTGCCCTTTAATTAATATATCATCATTGGAACTAATTAAAGTAAAAAGTTAATTTTTTATGAGCGTAATTCATTGAAATGGAGACACTGATATTTGAATTCCCCGCCTGATTTCCTTGCACTTTTTCATTGGTTGTTGTCGATCATTATCATTTGATGACGTTATCGAGGAATTTGCGGCAATTAAAACAAGAAAAAAAATGTAGATCGCTGTATAGTTCTGTTGATTTTCTGATATAATATATTACAGTTGCATAAAGGTTAATATATATTATAAACAGTTAAAATATATCTATATATATATTATATATATATATGTGTGTCACACACAGTGTGTGTGTGTGTTTCGTTACTGTAACCACAATCCATTTAAGATTAAGTTATGTAAAGTTTAGTTGGGTTAGTTATGTTAAAAGGGCCCCCGTGACCCCAGTGCTTTGGGCCCCCGTTGATCTAAATCCGGCGCTGAATCTTTCCCTTCGGGAATTTAGTGAAGCGCATAATTGCGCTGTTAGTTTTTGCAGCGCATGCTTGCGCAATTAGTTTTTTTGATAACGCGCCGTGCACGTGGATTTGTAAACGGCCGCGTCGCGTACATTCGTTCAAACAATCAGTCGACGAATAGCATTTGTGAAACGTATATATATCTGTGTGATAATAAAATCAGTTTGTGTTCTGATGTTAAACAAATCAAGTATATTATTATTAACATTACGCCTGACATACAAATCCACATCCATATCTTACAATGTAAACCGTACAAATATGAAAACGAACGGGTGTATTTTCTATTTTCCATTATGTTACAATTTAAAGTTACTTAACAGACAAAATTAAGTCTACAATATTGTATTAGATGCGCTTTCTTTCGAGATGCATTTCTAGGAAAATCGGTGACATGGAGAGGTCAGTAGGGTAGGGATATACAAAGGGACGAAAAGTTGCGAATATATAAATGGTCGTAAGCGCGCTGTGTCGCAGTAGAGGTCTAGATATAAAAGCAGATACATCGTGTGTCTTAATAGACGCGTTTGTGTTCAAGTGATCTTTGTGATATATTATTGAAAGAATTCGGGCCATTTTCGCGGGCATTGCATCACCCGTTCGTTTTCATATTTAAAATGGATTTAGCGATCCATATTATTGAAACTATGAACGATAACGATTATTGTATTCTTATAGACGACTTTTTTTTTAATGATGTTGAAGAAAGTGACTTTATTTACGAGTATCAATCAGACGACATCGATAGTAGTGATACAGTAAATACTTCAAATACAACTACATAAACATGACAGTATGTTTATATAAAGACTCGTTTCTCTTAATTGTTCAGTGTTGTTTATTCATGTAATACGCCGGGTGATGAGACCTCATTTAGTCCATACAAGCAGTAAAACTTGTTTATCAAGGAAATATGTTCGTCAGGTGACACATCTACGAGTTGAAAAAAATGTAAGTTTTTAACTTTTTTTCGATTTTAGCATATAATTCATCACATCACTAACTAATTTTGTGTCTATATTAATCCTGTAAAGGGATTTCTCATTCCGTTCAGTCGTTTCGGAGATTTTCTTAAGACTGTAAGAGTATCCACAATTTCGTGGATCCAGCATCCCCTTAATTACAGAATAAAAAAGTATTTACAGTTATCTTGATAACAAAAAAGTAGATTTTTTCCGTTACTTTTGAATGTTTATTAAAAACTTTACAGATTTCAATATACCTAACAAATGTTTTGCACTGCCTGGATAAGAGTATAACTAGTAGTTTTTTGAACATGGCCGGAGATACTATCACGTCTCCTGATAAATTAAAGTATATATTGTATATTACACAATTATATATTATATATATACGTATATAAGTTTGTATTCTCAACAATATAATTTTTCAATGAAATAATTAATTATCTGTTCGTTATTATTCTTTATGTAATTATAATAACGATTTTCTTGTCACTAATTTGTTAAGAAAAAACGCAAATGTTATTGATTAAAACAGTATTTAATGCATTTTTACATATCTATTATAAAATATTATAATCAATAACAATAAAAAGAGCGAAGTAAGAGTCAAATTAAGATTAACCCTTCCTCGACACTATGGGTCAATGTGACCCGTAGGTTCAGTTTGAACGCTTATATCTTTCTGGCAATTCAAATAACGGCGGTTTCATGACCTTCTGGTTGCAGTCGAGGGATTGAACTATAGCTGTGGATGATTTCCTCGCGATCCCGAGCCCTCAGTAACCGGTGAGCATCGGTCGAAAAAGGACTCGGGTCAATGTGACCCGGTGTGCTTGTTGTAAATAAATATATTTTTTGAGCGGAACCTTAAAATAAATTTTTCTTCACATATTTACCTATGTTTCGAGAACCTACATTTCAAATTTTAGCTAATTCCATTGAAAATTAAAAAAAAATTTTTTTCGTAAAACTTGATTTTTTCAAAAAAAAATTTTTCGCGAATTTTTTTAAGCATGTTAATAATTTTTAATACTTTTTTTTTATGATCGGATATCATTTAAGTATGTCCAAAGTATACGTCAGAAATTTTTCAGGTCGATCGGTGCATTCATGACTGAATGGCGAGCGATCAAAGTTCGTCTCGGGTCACATTGACCCGCACTGGCGTATTTGATTCAAAAAATAGGTGTGTCGAGGAAGGGTTAAAATTAAGGAAATGCTGACATGTTTAATTTTAAAAATTAAGGATATAAAATTATTAAAAATAAGATTATAAAAAAAACTACGTAAAATCTACTTAAATGAAGATGTAATAGAGATGTAACAAGTTTCGACTCTGAATTGAGTCTTCCTCCTTGAGACTTTAAAATATGTTTGATGCCTCTTTAAAACAATAACCTTTTATTTTTATTTTATAAATGTTGACAGATAAATATTATCTTTTTAATGTGCAACATGATATAAGCATTTTCACAAATATAATTGATGTCAAACTTCTAAAATGCATGTTTTTTTTTTTAAATATTTTCAGGAGAAAGCAAAACCAACTGGAATTAGAGCAGCAGAATTACATGAATTTATTTTGCGCTGGTTATGATTCCCTGTTGCGTACTTTTCAATATCTTAAGGTCCAAGAGTTATTGCGAGCCGCACGAGTTTGTAAAATGTGGCGTGATCTCGCTGCACATCCATCTCTGTGGAAGACCGTACGAATGAAAAATAGTCAAGTAACTGACTGGGATGGTTTGGCGGATACGTTACAGAGACGTGGTACGCAGCATCTAGATCTCAGAAAAATGCTAATTGCTTGCGAGTCCGACAACATTTGAAAGTAATTCTTGACTGTTATACCACGAGTGAGCAGTCTTTTGAAGCTTGAATTATGCAGATATCCCGTTTCAGTTGTGGAAGAAGTTATTAAGACTTGTTCACAATTGGAGGTATTTAGCGCGATGTCGATCAAATGCGAATCTCTTACGTTAGAATCGATTGGAAATTTGAGACGATGTCAAGAACTCAGACTTAAAGCGATATCTGGAATGTCCTTACAACAAGATCTTACTCCTTTACAAGATTTAAAACACTTGACACAGTTGGTAAGAATCTATGTTTTTTTAACATAATTTTTATTACAATTTTTTGTATTTTAATTTTTGTTATACAATATTAGATAATATTAAAAAATATCTTATTTTTCTTTTATGTACAGAGTTTAACATCAGTTAAGGAACTTGGGAAGAAAAAAATTGATGTTATACAATCATTGACAAATTTGGAGACGTTAGAATTAGGCGAATGCTCTGATTTTCCTGACAAGTTTGGAACTATCGTTTTAATCAATTTAAATAAATTGGAACGTCTTAGACTTGAAAAAGGTCAAGGATCGTGTTGTACATTCGATATTCTTGAAGGCGTATCGAAATTACAGAATTTGAATCAAATGGAATTGGTCAATTTCGATGTGAAGAATGGTTTTGACAAATGTCTGGCTAATTGCAAAAACATCAAAAGGTTATTAATTATATTGACTTATATATCCCAGTCGGCAACATCTAACAACATGGTGCTTGGAGGTGTCACAGAATTGTCAGACAATTTAACGCATTTTATATGGGGTGTTACGCTTGAGTTACTCAGGATTACGGAACTGTTCACTGATCAGTGCAATCTTATGAATAAACAGATTACCGGAGATTCTATACCGGTTTTAAAACCTGTTCCCTGCTTAAGATTAATTTCGGATGTTGAGGATAAAAACAAGAACCAAAAAGAAGGTATATTAACTTATACAGTTAATTATCAGCTAGCTAATTAACATTATCTCCACAAATAATTTCTATGATTAAGTTGTAAAATGTTATTTAATAATTTTACAGCCGATGATAAACAGCAGCCGCACCAAACGGGTCTTCAGGTCGACATTTTGCCATTGCCACAATTGCAAAAGCTTCTTTTAACTGCATTACCCAAGACACGAGTCAAGATATTGAAAATTCCCTTTCACGCTACTTGGCGACAAAGCATTTCCGATACTACTACGCAATAGAAATGAACGAGATGATACTAGTATGAAATCGAATGAGACAAATAGAATTAAAGTGACATTTGCGACACTTAAACATTTTTTTTGTAAAGTTGATATATTGTCCATACTTCTATATCAGGCCTGTTCAATTTGAGCTCCGGAGACAAAGCATAAAGCCATCGATGTAAAAAATTAAATTTAAGTAAGATTTTAGACTGTAAAGTATTCATAAGCTTATAAGTATCAACACTTCAAGTCTAAAAAATTTTGTTCATTGAATTTTTTTGCGTCAATGGATTTGCATTTTGGCTTCGGAGTTTAAATTGGACAGGCCTGTTCTACATCTATTTTTTGGATGAAAAATAACGTATATTTATGTACTATGAGTTTTATAATCTTCAGCAATTAATAATCCTTCGCAACGTATTGGTACACACTGTGGTATATTTAGTATTTTTGTGATAAATATGTATATGTGGGACCATGTATCGTGCACCATTTTTGCTCCAGGCAAAATGATACGACAAGTTGGTATCCTTGTATGGATTAATTTAATCAAATAAAATTCTGACTTTTATATATCACAATTTTACTTCCTCGAAGATAATGAAAATGATATAGATTAACTATCGAAGTTGCTGTGATGTGTACCTGCGTTGATCACATACATACATACCTAGAAATATGTGAATGTTTTGGATTTTTATGGTAAGAATATATTTATAAAATGGTAAGAATAATATTTGTAAAATGACATATTCATTAATGAGAAATATATTTATTATAAAAAGGTGTTTGAAAGCGAAACGAAATGTTTCAATACCGAGAGCATTGATCTTTTAGGATTCCTAGAAGATATCCAGTATTGCGAAAGTAGTTATACATTTATAATTTTAACATCGAGCGTCTACTGGAAAAACTTAAATATAGGATCACCTGATCTGTATGGCTCTATTTAGAGATTAGACTGTAAAAAGTAATTCTATATACATATAATATGTCTCTGTATCTTTTAATGTTTAGGCTACAAGTTTTCCGCTGCAAAGATATTACAGCAAAATTTGGGATAGTATAGAATATGTAATATACTTATTTCATTGCACACAATACATAATCAAATATACTGTTATGAAAATATTCATTGATTGATATGTGTACTAAGTATAAAATGTGTATAACTGTAAGTTTTCAATAATGACTTCTATACTCTTAATATGAATCGCAATTTATTTCTTTTTTCACTAACCCTATTGTATTATCTTCCCTAAGAAATGTAGGGTAAGGTTGCCGAAATCGCATCACTTTTCATATAAAGGCTTATAACTCAGAAAGTAAGAAGGATATTCTCAATTTTTTTGCGGCGTAATAAACTGTAAGCTTTTCTCTTTCTTATGTAATTTTTTCAGATTTTTTTATTATTATAATATTTTAAATAAAGATTTTTTACATACCTGTAAATAGTGCGATTTTGGAAACACGTTGCCTAAATCGCACCATGGGTTGTTTGATAAACAACAACAATGAAATAATTTCATGAGCGTTGCGGACGTTAAGTGAAATGCACCCATAATATATATTTACAATATATACTTTTACATAATAAAAAAAAAAATAAAATATGAAAAAATATAAGAAATGTAATTAATGATGGAAATGGAGGGGGGATAGAGAAAATAAATTAAAAACTAAACTTTCTGTATTGAAAAATTACATTTAAACTCAAATTCTTTTGAAATATAGGCACATGTGCATGTGCAATATGCGCGGTGCGATTTAAGCCACTACATTGTGGTGCGATTGAGGAAACAGTAGCACTTTGTAAAATTTTATTTATTTAATATTGCGAAGAATATTACTACGTCGACCCGCCATCAGAGGTCTATATAGATATTTGCAAAAATTCTCGCAAGTGCTTTGATACGCGTATATCTGTATATATAGAATCTCGATTTAATAACTTAAACAGGCGTCTAAGGTAGGCTTCCACTACAATGCCTTACTGCAAGTGCAAGTTGGGACGAAACGCCATAATTATGTGATATTCTTCGCAATATATATTAGATTAATTTAAAAGATTTTAACGGAATTATTGGCTCATTGCTCTTACCTCCTTATATTATATTGTTTAATACATATTGAGCCTTATATCACAATCATTTAACTTCTGTATGTTATGTATTATTAAACAATTTATGTATACACAATTTATGTACTTTCATGTAATACGTATAGTTTCATTTATCTCTCGAGTGTGTACATCTCGAGTCTCATTGGTTTCTTTTACTTTGCAGCGCGAAAATTATTTCACATTAAGTGGATTATATTTGCGTTAACAAATTACACACACATGTAAATAGATAGTTAATTCGCTTTACACTTATGTGATTTGTAAATGTTAAATTTGTGAAAATTTAAGAAAAATTCTTTTTTTTAAATAAGTAAATGTATGTACATACACATCAGAATGAGTACTTTCGGCTTGAAATGTATGGATATTCGTGTTTATTACCATTCCTACTCCTTATACACTTAATTCATTGTTATTTCGTTGTAGCGCACGATCTTGGTCTCGAAAGACACGACACGAGTCTGACATGTTTAAAAGTTTTTTAACTATCATTCACTATGTTTAAAAGTATTCTATTGCTAATATTATAAGTACTATTATTCATAGTATATTTAACTATATAAAAAAATATGTAAGTTTTATATATACGTACATATATGTGTGAGTGTGTGCATATAACATATATTTGTACAGGTATATGCATTTATATATATGTACGTTATAGATTCTGATTTTACATATACATATATTTAAAATATATACATATAAAATTATATATGGTACACACATATATATATATATATATTTGTATATATTACCAATGGCACACACGTACAGCAAGATTGCTGCAAGTTTTATTTGTGCGTTTTGAGAATTATGTATATATAATATATATATATAAAATTCATATACTTTTTTATAATTAAATATATTATAATGTAATAGTATCTCTTATAATGTTAATAATAATAATAAAATACTTTGTTCCGTTTATGTATATATTTAAATATGTATGTGTGTTTTTACTATTTATATACTCAGAAACACATGTGCATATATATTGATATGAAAAAAATTCAATTCGGTGCCGTTTATTCAAAAAAATTTAGTTCCGTTTTTATTTCGATACAATATATTCATCATATTGATAAAAAGTAGGTGACCTTTGACAGAAATTGGAAAATCAATAGTGTTACGGCGCGGTCAGCGGTGAACCGCGGCACGCGGGGATCGCGCTGTTTGGAGGTTATGCCGCGCGTGTATTACGACACCCGCGTCGCACGCAGGCTGCCCGTACGTGCTATTTTCGTTGCGGCGAAAATTGTTTATTCTCGCTGGTGGTCGTAGGCGCCGCGCGTTACGCACTTATAATGCATCTGAATGCGAAGAGGAGCTACGAGAGCGCGGTGAGATAGTAGACAAAAATGGGCAGGAAGAAGGCTCATGCATCGTCCAGGGGTAAACAACAGGGTCCATCACCGCAACAGAGGCACATATCCGCGGCGAAGAGGAACGAGCTCAATGTCCTGTGCGAGAAACTCTTTCATCGTGAGTACTTACTTCTACACGTCGAGTTCTCTCCTTCGACATCCCTCAGTATGTCGGATAAAAAACTTTATTTTCCGCGAAAAAGATTTTACATTCTTCTATAATTTGATGTTTGGTAGTAACAAATGAATAAGTGGTGCTTTTCAATAAGAACCATGGTGTAACACAGTTACACTTCATCTTTGTTTAACATTGGCAAGTAACAAGATTGTAATGGTATACTCTGTGTTATAAAAAATTATACTCACCTGTGTCTCTTGTTGTAAAGTACTTATAGAACCTAAAATTAGGGAAGAAGTAGAATGAATGTGTGTCAAGGACTTTATATATATACTTATATTTTGACATCATATTCTGTTGGCATCTATTCTGTAGCTGTATATTTTTTAATGATTTGTTTTTACATGCTATTTTGGGATATTTGCAGTGAGCAGTAATCCAGCGTACGTGACGCAATCATGGAACAACTACTTGAATATATCAGAAGTTTTGCTGAAGGTTAAACGTCTGGAGGAGATGAAGACGGAATCGTCTCAGCGATCCCAGGGGATTGGACAATTCATAAACTGGCTGACGGAGAATGGGGCGCAAGTAGATGGCTTGAGTATTGCTGAGTTTCCAGGATATGATCTGGGACTGAAGGCAGAGACCGACTTTGCTGAGAACCAATTGATCCTGGAAATACCCAGGGCACTCATCTTCAGCACGTATACCGCAGCATCAGAGTTGACTGTTCTACAAAATGATCCACTGGTTCAGCATATGCCGCAAGTGGCTTTAGCCATAGCGCTTCTCGTAGAGAGACACAAGGAAAATTCCAAGTGGAAGCCTTACTTAGATATGCTTCCAAGCAATTATAATACAGTTTTATACATGAAGACTAATGATATGATTGAATTGAAAGGCAGTCCTACATTAGGTACATAAAGAATTAATTTTATAAATCTTCAAACTGTTTTATCCAAAAGATGAATTTATATAAAATATAAACGAATTTACATATTTATATACATATTATGATGCATGGATATAATTATATTATAATTATATCTATGCATTACATATGCTTGATAATACAAAAAATAATTTAAATCTCATATTAATAATAAATAAATTTGTATTGTATGTTTACTACATAAAAATAATAAAACTAATATATATTATTTTAGTTTTATTGTAATTTTCATATTAGATTTATTCTTTATGTTTTTACTCAGAGGCTGCATTGAAACAATGTCGAAACATCGCGAGGCAGTATTCCTACTTTAACAAAGTATTTCAAAATACCAACAACGCCGTCTCAGCGATACTTAAAGATGTTTTTACTTACGAAAGATATTGGTGAGTAATTAGAACAATTAAGTTGTAATTAATTTTAAATAAGGTTGGTAATCACAAGTCATTTGACTGTAATTTATAATTTTATATATAAA